ATTATCCATCGGCTGCTCATCGACATATCCATCACTACTCATTGGCAGATTAGCTTTTTGCCGCTCATCGGCATATCAATCAGGGATTGGCTGCTTACTGGCAAACTAGCTATCGGCCGCTCATCGGCAGATCAATCACTGCTCATTGATAGACTAGCCATTGGCTGCTCATTAGCACATTATCCATTGGCTGCTCATCGACTTAGCCGTCACTGCTCATTGACAGATTAGCTTTTTGCCGCTCATCGGCATATCAATCAGGGATTGGCTGCTCACTGGCAAACTAACTATCGGTCGCTCATCGGCAGATCAAACACTGCTCATTGACAGACTAGCCATTGGCTGCTCATTAGCAGATTATCCATTGGCTGCTCTTCGACTTAGCCGTTACTGCTCATTGGCAGATTAGCTTTTTGCCGCTCATCGGCATATCAATCAGGGATTGGCTGCTCACTGGCAAACTNTTACTGCTCATTGGCAGATTAGCTTTTTGCCGCTCATCGGCATATCAATCAGGGATTGGCTGCTCACTGGCAAACTTGCTATTGGCCGCTCACCGGCAGATCAATTATTGCTCATTGGAAGATTAGCCGTTGGCTGCTCATTGGGAGATTAACCATTGGCTGCTCATTGGAAAATAGCCATTGACTGCTCATTCAATCAGGGATTGGCTGCTCATTGGGAGACTAGCGATTGGCTGCTCATTGGCAGATTATCCATGGGCTGCTCATTGATTGACTAGCCATTGGCTGCTCATTGGCAGATTATCCATTGGCTGCTCATCGACATATCCATCACTACTCATTGGCAGATTAACTTTTTGTCGCTCATCGGCATATCAATCAGGGATTGGCTGCTCACTGACAAACTAGCTATCGGCCGCTCATCGGCAGATCAATCACTGCTCATTGACAGACTAGCCATTGACTGCTCATTAGCAGAATATCCATTGGCTGCTCATCGACTTAGCCGTCACTGCTCATTGGCAGATTTGCTATTTGCAGCTCATCGGCATATCAATGTGCCCATAGAGGAAACAGGTTCTTGCTGCTCACTTGCCGACTGGATGGGATTGGATGCTGGATGTGATAT